ATTAAATCTTCCCTCCCTTTCTCCTTCTACTTTTTAAAAACTTTCATTGCTAACTTTTTCCCCTTACTACTCTCTTTACATCATCATTCCCCAAAAAGCTCCTCTTTTCCCCCCTGCACCCCCTTTCTGTAACCACAAACTTCTGTGAACCCTCAACACTCATTTTTAAAACCCACCCCATCCCCTTTGACCCCCTTGCCTAAGCCTTTATTTGCCCTCTATCCTCCAATGTGTTTATATCTTACCCCAACTGCCTCCTCTTTTAGTTTATAAACCTTCACCTCTCTCTTCCCCATGCTTCTATTTCCTTGTATCCCATCTACCTTTTACCCTTTGTGTAGCTACAAATAGAAAGTGATCTGAATATCTGTGGCCCCTCTTAAAACTTACATCCTGAAGTTACTCACAGTCTTTTATTACCAATACAAAACAACAAATCTGTCATTTTTGCCCTCATCTAACGTGTATACTTATTTATCCTCTTTTTCTTAAATAGTATTTCCTATAACTAAACCCCTTTTATACAAAAATTCAATCAAAGGCCCCATTACATTTTCACCTGGCACCCCAAATTTCCTACCCCCACCCTCTCTCTCTCTCTCTCTCTCTTTCTCTCTCTCTCCTTTTCTTTTCTCTCTTTTCTTTCTCCTCTTTCTCTCTTTTCTCTCTCTCTTTCTCTCTCTCTTCCTTCTCTTTCTCTCTCTTTCTCTCTCTCTTTCTCTCCTTTTTCTCTCTTCTTTTTCTCTCTTTCTCTCTCCTTCCTTCCCCTCTTTCTTCTCTTTCTCTCTCTTTCTTCTTTCTGTCTCTCTTTCTTTCTCTTTCTCTCTTTTCTTTCTTCTCTCTTCTCTCCTCTTCTCTCTCGGGCCCTCTTTTCTCTCCTTCTCTCTTTCTTCTCTCTTTCTTCTCTCTTTCTCTCTTCTTTCTCACTCTTCTTTCTCTCTCTTTTCTCCTCCCCCTTCTTTCTCTCTCTCTTCTTCTTCTTCTCTCCTCTTTTCCTCCTTTTCTCTCTCTCTCTCCTCTCTTCTTTCTCTCTCTCTCTCTCTCTCTCTCTCTTTCCTCTCTTTCTCTCTCTCTTTTCCTCTCTTCTCCCCTCTCTCTTCTCTCTCTCTCTCTCTCTCTCTTCATATATTAATATATATATATATATATATATAAAATATATACTTTATATATATACAAAATATATATATTATAATATATATTATATATACATATTATAAAATTTTTTATATACCAAATATATTACATTATATTAAATATATATAATTATATACATATATATATACATATATATATAATATAATAATATATTATATACATATATATAATATATATATATTATATATTATATATTTATATATATATTAATATATATATAAAATATTTTACAGTGGACCCCGCATAACGATTACCTCCAAATGCGCCCCAATTAGTAAGTGTATTTATGTAAGTGCGTTTGTACGTGAAATGTTTGGGGGTCTGAAGGAATAATCTACTTCACAATATTTCTTATGGGAATAAATTGGGTTTCAGTACTGGCACCTGAACATACTTCTGGAGTGAAAAAATATCGTTAACCGGGGGTCCACTGTATATATATTATATATACATATTATTTTCTTTCTTTCAACGTACCAGCCGTATCCCACCGAGGCGGGGTGGGCCCAAAAGAAAAAAACTAAAGTTTCTCCTTTTAAAATTTAGTAATGTATACAGGAGAAGGGGTTTTCTAGCACCTTGATCCCGGCATTTAGTCGCCTCTTACGGGCACACATGGCTTACAGAGGAAGAATTCTGTTCCCCTTCCCCATGGGATATAAGAGGAAATAAACAAAACAAGAATTAGAAAGAAAATAGAAGAAAACCCGAGGGGTGTGTGTTATATATGCTTGTAAATGTATGTGTAGTGTGACCTAAGTGGTAAGTAGAAGTAGCAAGACTTACCCGTTAATCTTGCATATTTATGAGACAGACAAAAGACACCAGCAATCCTACCATCTTTTAAAACAATTACAGGCTTTCGTTTTACATTCACTTGGCAGGAGGGTAGTACCCCTGGGCGGTTGGTGTTTACCAACCTATACCTAGAATTTTATATATATATATAAATATATATATTATATATATATATATATATATATATATATATATTTTATATATATATATAAAATATATATATATATATATATATATATACAGGAGGGGGGCCCCGCTTTACGGCGTTCCGCTTTACGGCGTTCCCCCTAATACGGAAATTTTAAAAAATTTACCAAAATCACTTTTAGGCTCCCCCCCCCTGACTTTTAATACGGTCACCTGCCCCCCCGTTTGTTTCATTCTCCATGGCTCAGTATCTCTGTCCACTCTCTCTTCCTCTGTCTCTGTCTCTCTGTCTCTGTCTCTGTCTCCTGTCTATCTTCTCCTGTCTCTTTCTCTCTCCCTCCTCATCTCGTCCCTCTCGCTCTCTCTCTCTCCTCACTCCCTCCTCCCTCCTCGCCCCGTGCTCCTCTCTCTCCCTGTCTCTCTCTCCTCCCCTCCCGGCTCCTCCTCTATTCTTTCCTCGTCTTCTGTCTCTCTTCCTCCTGTCTCTCTCTCTCTTCTCTCGTGTCTACTCTCTCTCCGCTCTGTCCTCTCCTTTCTCTCTGTCTTCTCTGTCCGCTCTCTCCTGTCTCTCTCTCCATCCTGTCTCTCTCTCTCTGTCTCTATCTCTCTGTCTCTCTCTCTCCTTCTGTCTCTCTACTCTCTGTCTGGGTCTCTTCTCACTCTCTTGTCTCTCTCCCTCTCTGCTCTTTCTGTCCTGTCACTCTCTCTGCTCTCTTCTCTCTCTCTCTGGTCTCTCCTCTCTCTGTCCCTCTCTTCTGTCCTCTCTCGCCGTTCCTCTCGTGCTCTCTCTCTCTGTCTCTCTGCTCTCCCTCGCTGTCTCTCTCTCTCTGTCTCTCTCTGTCTCTCCTCTCCTGTCCCTCTCTCTCATCCAAAAAATTGATCTCTCTCTCTGTCTCTCCTCCTCTGGTCTCTCTCGCTCTGTCGTCTGTCTCCTCTCCTCTCTGTCTCCCTCTCTCTCTGTCCCTCTCTCTCTGTCTCCTCTCCCTCTCCTGTCTCTTCCTCTCTAGCCTTTCCTCTCACTCCTATCTGTCCTCTCTCCCTCTCCTCGTCCTCTCTCTCTCATGCTCTCCCTCTCTCTCTCTCATTTGTTTTATATCTCCTTCCACTCACTTTCTCACATCTACATTAAAACACCATATATTTTAAGGTTAGTAAGTGAGTATAACTGTATAAGCATTTTATTATCTCTAGGGCTCATTTATCTTTCAGTGGTGCTGGTGACATCCTACTATGGCTTGCACGGGTGGCCAGAGGGTTGGTGCCTTACTAGTACGTGTAAATTCTAGCGCCTTTTACAAAATCTAGTAAGAGGAAAGCTGGTTGGCCTACATATGAAAGAAAAACCGGGTCTAAGTGGTCATTGTGCACAGTATAAAACAATAATCCTACACGACAGTGCCATAAGTGAGAGAAAAAAAAAACCCCAACAGTGTTGGATCGGTTTTTAAAACACAACGTTTGCAGCAGTATTTTCCGTAAGTAATTAGGTTTGTATTCTCATTTTTTCCTGGTCTCATTTTATAAATGGGGAAGACATGATTTACAGAAATAGAGATAATTTTGATTGTTTCCAAACAATGAAAATTACCTTGAAATTGAGCTCAAAGTAGGCAGAAATGTTTGACTTTTGAGCCAAAGTTCAAAAGTACAACGAAAATCATGCCACGTCGTGTCCAATACACGTCAACATTGGTGATCTGATACTCTTTCACAAGTGCGCTGATATTATTTATGACGTACATATTCGTACACGTAATGCAGTAGTCTGCATAACAGAAAAATCTTCTATTTTTTGTGATAATAAAAAATCAAAGTTGGAAAGCAAAAGAAATGTAAGAGGGGCATGGGGACATTACAAACTGAACAGAGAAAATGTTATTTTAGAGTGCCAGGAATGTCCTGTTCCTTGTTTATTCTGGACCCTAATTAAAATTGGTTCATTCTTTTGAAATTTGTGTGAAATTGTGCAAAATTGCCCAATTTCCTGAACCAACCTTTCATTGGATAGTTGAAATTGATAAATGGTTGGGGTTTTCAGTGATACTGATTCCGATATGAACAAAATGGAGTTTTCTAGCGAAATATTTTATCCATGATTTTTGTCGTCGTCTGGTACATTGGAATTGGCCGAATAATAGGGCTCAAAGTGGGACAAAATCGCCGAAACGTGAATCATTCGAGACAGCTAACTTCGCTAGAAGCAAATTCCGTAAGTTTTTTTTATCTTTTTTTCCATCAAATAAGCATACTTTTGGTGTCATTATGATGGGGCGAGAAAGATTCCCATCTAATAATTTCATAGAGAAAAAAATCATTTTATTTTGTCTCAGAAAATTTCCGACCCCTGAAACAAGTTTGGGAGAGGGCCTCACAACTCCTGAAAGGGTTAAATTTATCTAATAACATGTGGGCTTGTGGCCCGAAACCTACCGACAGAACAACAAACCTGACCCCACTACAAATAATAGCTACGTTCATCCTCTCACCCCTATCATTAAGAACGACAAAAATTTTAAGGTAAGTATAGAGATACTTTGGGCGTTGGTTAAATTTCTACTTTTTTTGTCTTTTAAAAATGCCAATTTGCTATTGCTATCTTACTATATGATATTGAAAACATGGTTATTCCCTAGCAATTAAATCACAAGAGGAATAAAAACATTCTGCTTTCCAGCTATGTCCGCTTTTCAGCGGTAGCCTGGAACCTAAGACTCGCATATGAGTTTGGACCCTACTGTATCAGATAGTGGAGAATACACAAGTTACCGGTAACATATATACACTAATAAACAAGAGATGCAAACGTTAGATCACCATGTGTTCATATCCTGCTCCCAGTTGCTACCGTTATGTACATAATTACACATTGATTATTACACATACTATTTTGGTTTCAGATATGATATGTAAATAATGTTATAATAATTTTTAACTCATGATTGTCATTTAATTCTCAAAACAATATGACGACCAATAACTTGACTTTCAGTGTTTGTTGTCATGAGTGCTTAATATGTTGTCTTTAATACAAGTATTTTCCACCCACTGCCACAGGTCATATCTGGTGGGTGCATCTGGAGGCTGCTATGCACTTATAGAAGCTGGCACACCCCGGTGGCAAACATCATGCAACAATTGGTCAGAAATGCCATTAAACGCTGGGCTGCGACTGTTGGGTCTTATGAAGCACTGATGGGTTACGGATATTGGGGTGCATTGCATACATGGACCCTTAACCAAAAAAACAACTCAGGAAGTAAGTATTAATATGATAATAACGTGTCCAATGTGCAAGTTTCTCTTAAGCTTTAAATCTTTTGTTTTAGGAGATTAAATTTATTATTCCTATACATAATTTTAGTAGTGTATTTATGCTAGATAAAATGCAGGAAATTTGGAAAATTTAAACCCTTTAGAGGGTCCGACCCGTAGATACTACAGCTTTAAACGTTCAGGGTCCCAAACCGTAGATCTATGTCCAATGATAGCTTCAGCTCACTTCTGATGAAACTGTGAGAGTGGTAAACAATTTTGGCCCTAGAGATAGAGAGATATACCATCATGTGGTATAGTGTGGCACCACATAAAACAGAGTCCTGCAGGCGAGACGCACACCGCTGTGAAATAAAAGAGAGTAAAACAAACTGACATCGCTCATGATTTTACTTTCCATTTAAAACACACTTCTTGGCCAGTTGTTTTTTTTTTGTAAGTGTTTTTATAGTCTTATATGCCGATTTCTTGGTCGTCATTTGATATAATGTGTAGAGAACAGTATTAACAGAAATAGAGAATGATATATGATTGGTAAATATACCATTTCATTCCCTGCACATGGAAATGGCTTGAAACTGAGCTCAAAGTACAGAAAATGTTAAATTTTATTTGCCGGATATATCAAGAGTAGAAAACAAACGACCTGACAACACGTCTGAATCCACGCCCAGCTGGAGGGTCTAATATGTGGGCATATAATGGTGATGATATTACTTTATACAATTATTACAGGGTTTTTATTGCATAACAGTAACATGTGGAATGATTTATTTGTTTAAAGTCCTCAGAAATGTAACTAAAGACAGAGGAAATGGTTAGTGAGTTAAGTTCCAGGAATACCAACATTGTATTATAGCAGTACCCTATTATTGTGAAAATGGCATATTTTGAACTATTGGTGTGTAAATTGGCCAAATTAAACATTTCCGATCACTTTAATATTGTAGTTGAAAACAGTTGACCTTGGCGAATTTCTTGTTGCTCAAATCGATAGAATAGAATAAACTTAGGTGAAATAGCTAAGATTTAGTATAGACCTGGAATAATGTACTTGGCCTAATATGGGAGTCAAAGTCGGCTCAAAATCGCCGATTCGTAAATATCGCTGACTCCATCAAAAATCGCGGAGAGCATAAATTTCGTCAATTTTTTTTCTCCCATCAAATTGACGTACTTTTTTTGTTTTATTTACCCTTCAGCAGAAAGATTCTCCCTAAGCCATTTGCAAGAAGAAAAAATTAACAAATTGTTTGTTTTTTTGAAAGTATTTCCTTGGACACTGGGGCAGAAAAACCAACTACCAGAATTGGTGTCCTAGACCCTGAAGGGGTTAAAAAAAAAAAAAATGTGAAATTGAAAATAATTGAGTTTTCAGCATTATAAATTTTGAATGTTTTCATTAGATCAGCATTCCATCTCTTCATCACTGATATATCTTATCTAGAGGAAACTTTGCATGTAAAATTTGTACTGGCAAATGTGCCAGTTTGGCGAAATTCTAATTCTAAATCACATACTTTAAGTATGTACATATAAGGTATGGCCAAATTCCTAGTTTTTTTTTTATTCATTTTATTTATAATCTAACTATTTTTAAAAGGACTATCAGTGAAATTTTAACCCCTTTAAATTAGTTAATTCCCTTCCCCTTATATCATGGCAGTGAATCCAGTATAGGGTCCTGGTGTGCCGTTATATAGTATTGCACCAATGAGGCACCCAGCTAGTTCAAGATAAGCTGTTGAGCAGTAAATTTGGGCTCTAGATATGAATGGGTCTATGCGGTAAACGTGAAACAATATAAAAAAAAATCCAGCAGCACAGCGCATGAAAAAAACTACGACCATTTTTTTGGTTTAAAACAGTGACTTGTGGTGTGTTTTCACATGCTTTTTAATGTTGTAGGGATCTCAGTTTCTTGTTTCATTGGATAGAATGGAAGATGATATTAACAGAAATAAAGATTTCAGGACTGAAAGTAGATTTTTGAAATTGACTCAAAGTAGCAGAAATGTTTTTTGATTTTTGCCGTAATTCCAGAGCACACATGTCTAACATGGCATCCAGAGTACATTTGTACCAATAACGCGTCCAACTGTCTTTCTGATACACATTTAGAATGCACTGACATTATTTATTCAATATTACAATAATGCAGATGTCCTGCATACAATAAAATTCTTTGTTTTTTTTGTGTGAATAAACAAAAAATTCGAAAATTGAAAAGCAAAATGTAACATAAGCTAGGGGCCTGGAGACATGACTAAGAAACAACACAGGAAATGTTTTTAAAATAGTGCCAGGATTATGCCAAAGTAGAGGAAATGAAATTTGAGTTTTGGGCTAATATTTCCAGAGTACCCTTGTCCAATTTGCCGTCCAGAGTACACTTGTTCCCGTACATTTCCAACTGGAGCCAGTACTAATACACATTGAGGAATCACGTGACATTATTTCTATAATTATAGTCAAATGCAGTAGTCTGCAAAACAGTAAATCTTCTATTTTTTTTTTGTGTGAAGGAAAAATCAAAATGGTAAAAAGGAAACCATAAACATTATGATGGGCCCTGAAGACATGCATACGAATCAGAGAAAATGTTATTTAGTGCCAAAATGTCTACATTGTTTTATTCTGAATCCTATTTGTTAAATTTGGCAAATTATTGAATTTTGTATGAAATTGGCCAAAACAAACAAAACCGATTTCTCTAATCCCCACTTTAATGGGTATTTGAAAAGGTAAATGGGCAATTTCTTGTACTCCCAAGGACGCGTAGAATGAAATATTAGGCAAAATAAGGGGCTAGGCGTGGCTACCAAGTTTTGGTGGAATCTGGACAAATGAGAATTGGCCAAAAATAGAGTGCAGAAACGTGGGTGAACCACCGATGCAATGAAATATTACCCGAGACGACAAACATTGGTAGAGAACAATTCTGTAAGTTTTCATCAAATTTTGTAACTTTTGTGTTTCATTTACTTTCAGAAAAAGATTTTCCTATCATTCATAATATATTTCTTTCTCTTTCTTTCAACAAACCAGCCGTTAACCACCAAGGCAGGGTGGCCCCAAAAAAGAAAAACAAAAGTTTCTCTTTTAAATTTAGTAATATATACAGAGAGGGGTACTAAAACCCTTGCTCCTGCATTTGTCGCCTCTTACAACACGCATGGCTGTACGGAGGAAAGGAAGGCGTGTCTGTTCCACTTCTCAATGGAGATAAGAGGAAATAAGAACAAGAACTAGAAAAAAAATAGAAGAAAACCCAGAAGGGGTGCGTAATACAGTATAAATGCTTGTACAAGTATGTGTAGTGTGACACTAAGTGTAAGTAGAAGAAGCATGACAACATGAAATCTTAGTCATGTTTTATGAGACAGAAAAATGGACCCAGCAACCTGACCATCATGAAAAACAATTACAGGTTTTCGTTTTACAACTCACTTCTTGGCTGGACGGTAGTACCTCCCTGGGCGTTGTGTTTACCAACCAACTACCTGAGAATTTTATATTTATATATATACATGTATATATATATATATATATTTTTTATATTATTATCACACTTGGCAGATTCCCACCAAGTGCTAAAAAAGGGTGGAGCCCGAAATCTATATATAAATATATAAATATATTTTTTTTTTTTTATTATCAGAAACAGGCCGATTGCCCAATAAACCCAGGCAGGGTGGCTCCGAAAAAGAAAAAACTATCACCATCAATCAACTCATCACTGTCGTATGCCAGAAGGGTGCCTGTTACACTACAGTTTTTAAAACTGCAACATTAACACACCCCCTCCTTCAGAGTTAGGGCAACTGTAAGTTCCCATCACCCAGGACTCAAGTCCGTCCTGCCTGTTTCCCGTATCCCCTTCAATAAATGTTACTTTTTGCTACATCACCCAACAGCACGTCAAGTATTAAAAACCATTTGTCCATCCATTCAACCTCCTATCAAACTCCTCACGCCTGCCTGCTTGGAAGTCCAAGCCCCTTCGCAACACAAAACATCCTTTTTACGCACCCCCTCCCCTCCAACCCTGTTCCTTAGCCGACCCCTACCCCGCCTATACCTTACACAAACTACAGACTGATACACTATCTATCTTGAATTCATTGCTGTTTTTCCGCCCTCGCCATCTTCCCTCTCTACAAGACCGGAACCACCTCAACAACCCTTCCACCCGATGCCTCAGGGCCCTGGACAACGCTTTTGGTAATCCCCCGGTCACCTCCTCCTAACTTCCAAAACTACGAATTCTCTGCATTATATTCACACTCGACACAATGCCCCACCAACATGACAATCTCCACTTGGCCTCCGAGCCATCCTCCTCGCTGCAACATTCATCACCCACGCTTCACGACCCATATTAAAGAGCGTTGGTAAAACTACTCTCATACATTCCCTCTCTTTTGCCTCTAAAGGACAAAGTTTCTTTGGTCTCCACAGACTCCTAATGTGGCAACCACTGCCACTCTTTTTTTTTTCCTTTTTTCGCCCCCTCATCAATTCTATGATTATCAACCTCATCTTTCATAACCCCCATCCGCTGACACGTCCACTGACTCCCCAAATTACTGAATCGTTCACTCTCCTTCCCCATACTCTCTACCCTCCA